AGATCCTTGGGTTCCAGGCTTGCACAATCCGCTTTTAGAATGTTCATGTGCTTCCCTCTAGGCACTGGCTTGCTCGTGAATATATATGGGTTTTGATTCCATACATGACCTACGACCTAGGCGCTATGTACATTTGCTACTGGTACCGAAACAGAGGCGAGGATAAGAAACACTCCCTCGCCATCTTTAGGAACTTCCTCAAGCACGATCGCCTCATGCTCATGCACCATATTGTCATTCTGATCGTTCTTGTACCCATTGCACAGGTGAGTGCTGACAGGACGGGGTCACCATCACTGCAGAGGCAACTTGTGTTCCAGAACGGTGGGGGACGTTATCCATGCCTGTGGAACCATAGCTGTACCTCAGATGTCCTTTCCCTTTCCAGTTTCATTTGTTCCCTTAGATGGCTAGCTCTGGTGTGGCTGCCCAGCCCCTTATGCCAGCCATGTAGATGGTATGCCTAGAACCTTGAGTTTTTGGGGTCCATTTCATGAGTTAGCATAGCTCAAGAATTTGCCCTTTGGCCAACCTTCTCACTGTTTAGCAAGGTTTGTCCTCAGCCAGCAGGCACATCATTTGATGCAAGCCTCCACCATCAAGGTCCTTCCTACTTGGTAAGACCTACCAGTGTCCACTAGCAAATGCTCCACTGATAGGGCGTTCAAGAACTCTGGATCATCTCCATGCCATGACAAAGCATCAGTTAGGTTTGAGTAAACTTGAAAAATTAACACTGGCCCCATCCACAAGTTGTGCTTCTCTGCTCCTGCCCTCATCTCCCACAGCACTAGGCAGCCTGTGCTCTCTGTATATATAATGCAATAATCATTTTAAAAAGTGAAAACTTCAACTGGTTGAGTGTTGTGTCTTTATAATGCTAAATAGTTGCTTTCTTTTCATGGAATTGACCTAATATTTTGTTACCATGAAGGTGAAGCCTTCAGGAGAACAAGGAGCAAAGCCATTTTTGGTTTGGCTAGAACTGGATTCCCACAAACTCATAAAGGAGAGACTATTAGGGGCATGTGAGTGGGTTCCTGGGTCCCCTCCCTGGCAAGGATGGTGGTCCTCTGGCCGTGTAAATCATTTCCCAGGGATGGCAGCTGCTCAGGCACTGCTTGCCTCCACTTCCACGTTCAGCCTTTGATTTGTTCTTTGTGGTAAAGGTTCACTATCTTGGCTAGGTTGGCTCACACGCCCTGCCTGGCATTCTGCTGCCCTACTTCATCTCCAAAGGCACTGCTGCTCAGGTCCTGATGTCTTCTCCCTTGCAGGTAATAAGGGGAGAACGTGGCGACTTCTTTGTGGGCTGTATCTTCACAGCAGAATTCAGCACTCCATTTGTGTCATTCGGCAAAATTCTGATCCTGGTATGTAAAGAACCAGTGTCAGAGCTGGCAAGGAACTGATGAAAGCATCTAGCCTAACCCTTTCATTCTACAGATAAGGAAACTGAGGCCCAGAGAAGGAAAGTGGTTTGCTCTAAATCATCCCGCAACTTAATGTATGACAGAATTATAAGAAGGGACCTTGTTTTATCAATAAATTGTAGTCACAGAGAAAGCCCTTGGGTGTAGTAGTGAGGCAGGAGATCCACTGGATGGCATTATGTTCTGAGTCCTGGGGGACGGCATATCAGGTGACCCACTGTCCTAGGGCTCCCTGTAGGAGCATTTCCATGGGGGTCATTCCCATCACTAGAACTTAAAGTGTGTCCCCAGCTCTGGTCAGATCTTCCTACTGGATCACAGAATCTCAGTGGTGAGAGGAACCTCAGAGCTCACCAATTCCACTCACCCATAAGCTCTACAATCCCATCTACAACAAACCCAATAAAGGATCCAGCTTTTGCTTGAAGACCCCCAGGGAGGGGGCACCCAGCCCTTCAGAAAAGACTCATCCAGTTTGGGACAGTTCTCATGGTTAGGATTCCTCCCCTTTTATATTTGGCATAAAGCTGTCTCTGTATCTCCTCCCATTGGACTAATTCTGTCTTCTGGGGGCAGAATAAGCCTGACCCCTCTTCCATGTAATAACCTTTCAAATACTTGGACCCTAATAACAGCATTTACATGTACATATACATATTTATATATACACACACACACATATACATGTATATAAACACATGCACACATATATAGGCATACTCTACATGTAGACTATATCTTAAGGAGAGACTATATTTTATATTCTATATGTACTACATGCAGTATGTACATATATGTATACACACACACACCCCATTGAAGTACTAGAGTGTATAGATGTCTGTATATATATATATATATATATATATATGCAGGGGTCCCCAAAGTCTTAGTGCAGTTTTAAGTCTTAATAGCTTAAAACTGCACTAAGACTTTGAGGACTCCCCCCCAGTATATGTATATGTATATGTGTATAAAATATGTGTCTATAAGCACATATGTATATGTTCTATGTATATACAACACACACACATATAAAATTCAATCCAAGCAGTGATTGCCACCTCTGGTTGAGTCCAAAGGATCTCCAGAATACAGGCGTTCCCAGCAGCCCTTTGGCATCTAAGGGGGTCTCCCCCAATGACCTTTATTGCTACTGAACCCAAGCAGAAAAGGCAAAGGGGTAACTCAACCAGCTCTAGCCGCCTGATGAACCCTTTTTCTTCCCACTTCCTCTCCTTCTGCAGTGGAAGAAGCAGCGCACGTTTGCGTACAAGTTGAACGGAGTCCTGACACTGGGGACCTTCTTTCTCTTCCGCATCCTCGTCTTCCCCTTCATGTACTGGTCCTACGGCCGTCAGGAGGGGCTGAGCTTGCTGCAGACACCATTCCACATACCCTTCCTTTGCAACGTCATCAATGCCCTCCTCATCTTGCCCCAGCTCTACTGGTTTGCTCTGCTTTGCAGGAAAGCAGCCCAGATGTTTGACACTTCTCAGGCCAAAAGGGACAGTTAGTGGAGCCTATGACCCAGGGCATGCAGAAGAAGGGGTATCCTCCCACACTACCTGCCTCCTCCACATTCCATGGAACTATATGGGCCCTGGAAGGCCTGTCTTTTCTGGGAGGTAATAGGGAGGTGGAGGGGTTGGGTTTTATAAGGAACAATCACATTTCCTCCCTATGCTGCCTTTTTACAGAAGCGTATTCCCATGGATAACAACTAGGGTATTAGGTTGTGGCATATGACTAGCTGAGGAATCTTGCATATGTCCGCCAATCACTAGATGGTTTGTTAGCTCTGAGGACACTGCTGGGGTCTGATCTCAAAAAGCTGTGCAGGAGGTGCCGCAGAGGTTTGGAGGAGACAAGACAGATAGATCTGGTGACGAAGTGGCCTCTGCCAGGCTATTTGCACACTGACTTAACAGTCTGGTTTTTGCACATCCTTCTGCTCACCTCCTTTGACCAAGGAACAGCCTCTACTGGACCAGCAGGACCAAAGCAACATTTTGCTGATTACCTGTGCATATTCTGGGAATAAGGGACAAGAACTGGGGCAGCAGTTTTTTTTTTCTTTCCTAGGATGACATCCCAAGTTTCAAGTACCTCCATTTCCCTTCACTCTTCCCCTGGTGCCAATGTTTAATACTCACATCCACTGTCTCCCGGGCTGGGATGGAGAGAGAATGGTACCAAGGAGCCCACAATTTTTACAGGACACCAGTTGTGTCTGTTTCAAGTTAGCAAGCCAAGTTAGGGAAATCAGGACCATTAAATGGTAAACCCTACTCTCCGCATACTTCTCCCTCGCATCCAGTCTGTTCTCTGTCCATATGCACAAGACTGCCTGACTTCTGGTAAAAAACAGGATTTTAACAGCTCCCCAAACTACAGCTCACATTCTTCTCAAGATGAGATTCCAGTGGCCTTAGAAAAAATTCATGTCTGGAGTACTAAATGTTTTTCCTATTTTCCTTATAACCTACCCTTCTGACCAAAACCATGTGTCCTTGACAGCTTAACTACCCTAGAAAGGAGTCTAACACAAATACCTAGGCCCAAATGATCGCTGCATCCTCCTCTCCACATGGTCAACCCCCCTTGTCACCAGCTACTTTTCAATAGGAGACCCAGGTGCCAACTCTAAACATTCCTCATAAAAACAGGATGTTTTAGGAATTATGCCTTGGCAAAGTATTAGAACTTTTTAAAAAAATCAGGTTATCTTCCCATCAGTTGTGATTCCATTGTCTTTTAAAAGTGGCAGTTTATTTAACAGTAATGACTTGTTTCAGACTCTTGCTGTCTGTCTCAGTCTAATGGGTGCTGTTTTTCTGAACCTATAAAATGCTATACAAGTTTTAGGCTTGTCCTGATGTTTTGTTTACTGATAATTTATCTGAAAGAAAAAATTCCCTCACGGAGATGAAACTGCATTAATATTTTTCCTACTTACTCTCATCATGAAAGACATCAATAAAGATTTCTTTTTAAAGCCATTCGATGGAAGGAGTGACCATTGTCTGCTTCTCTTTTATCTCAGAACATACCTGGGTATCTTCAGAATTATCTTGCCTCAGTCTAAGAGGGATTTCCTGCAGCCTGGGCCAGCTCCCAATGTGGTCTTGGTGGGCACTGGGGGGGAGGGTCCCAGCTGTCCCATTTCCCTTCAGTCTGATCTCAGTGAGGAAATCGGCCATCAAGCTCCAGGCACAATGACAGCCAAACTCTGGATTTCCAAAGAACAGGCCTGATAAGAACTGACTTTTATTGCTGCTGCCCCATACAATAAGAGCCTCCTCCTCTTGATGCCATCTGTCCAGCACCTGCTATCAGCACTCATGTTACATTCCAAACACCTTTTTCCATCCCTCCCTCCCTCGTAACCTGTGGACCAATCCATCCGCCCACTTGTTGGGCAATGGTTCAAGAGGTCTGGTCATGGACAAAGAAGATCCTCTCCAGTATGACTTGAGGCTGCAACAAGTCCAATGAGGAGGATTTCAGAGGGTGTTGGAGCCTAGCAGTGGTGCTTTGGGACCAATTATAAAAGGATGGGAAAGGTTCAAAAGAAAAGGTAAATTTTATTATCACTATTACAAATGCCCAAGAAAGTATCTTCTTCTTCTTTATATACTGCACCCTTGGTGTCTCTTGCCTCTCCTATTTCCTAGGATTGTGAAAGGAAGTTTTTGCATCCCGTCTAGCTCCGAGTCTGCCTCGCTTCCAGGGAAGACCAATACTTCCTGGTGTGGGTCATCAAAAGCTGTTGATCTTCTGTAGTAAAGTTTTCCGTTGTTCCCTCGGGCCAACGTTCTCGGCGACGGATTTGAGGAAGTGCTGCTCATTTGCCTTCCGGAGCAGGGCATTTGTAGATGTGTCACTTTTGCTGAGGACTTCATAGTAAGAGAGGATCTCCAGGGCTAGAACATAGAGGGGCTCACAGACCTCCTCAGGAAGCATGGCCATGATGTGGAGGATGTGACAGAAGAGCTGAGTGTAAACAAACAAGGTTTCTTGTGTCAAGTCTTTCTCCTGTCCTTGAGCCCACGGGCACAGGGACTGGACCTTGATGGAGTCAAGCAGATCGGTCAGGCTGCTGCAAATGAGCTTGACCACATGGCTCCAGCCTTCGGCAGGAAGCCAGTTGGAACAGCTGGGGCTGCAAAGGAACTGGAAACCTCTCAAGAAGAGCACAGAGAGCTGCAGCTCTTGGGCAAAGGGTTTCAGGTTGAGCAGTGGAACAAACTGAACATACTCGAGACTGTACGGGACGTGCAACAGTTGTTTTTGCAAAAGACGCCTGGTCAGCTGGTGCAGGCATTTCCACTCACTGGGGCTGCACCAAGGTAAGACTTGCACCAAGGCCACGAGGAAGCCCTTGCTGAAGAAGCTGACCTCCTCGGGGTTGCCCGTGTCCACAGCTAGGAGGGAGAGCATGTGCTCACAAGTGTCAACAGAGATACAGCAGCACTCCATCCAGGCCAGAAGGCCCGTGCCAGGCCCATAGGCCGGGTGATTCTGTGAGGTCCAGTCGTCCTCAGAAAGCTTGCAGATCTCAAAGAGTGTGGCTGGCACTTCACACTTAAAATGACCCTTAAAGACAGTCCGAAGCCGCAGGCCCACGGTCCAGTCAAGCTGCTCTGTCTTCCGGTGCAGCCAGGACAAGGACTTGGTCCAGTTCTCTGGACTGGGGTTGTCCTCCTTGGGCAGCATTGCCTCACAGAGCTGCTCGAGGATGCCAATCACCAAATCTTTAGAGTCCAGTGAGAGGTGCCGCTTGGCCTTGGGGTGCTGCCAATACTTGGTGTAGCTGTCTAGCAGCTGGCACAGAGTGAAGAGGAGGGGAAATGGGGAACAGGAAAGGAGCGAGGAGCCATCAGAGTGTGGCTTTGCTTCTAGAGCCTGAACGAAGATCTTGAGACAAAGGTCCACCTCTTCCACATGCAGTGTCAAGTAAGGTAGGACAAACACTTTAATTACCTCCTCAGGCGCCAGAAGAGGGGTCAAGGGGGATAGTGCTGGTCTCTTGCTGTGGGGGATCCATTAGGTAGCTAAGAAACTCCAAAAACTGCTTCTCCTCGTTGGCTGATGAAAGCTTCCCCCAGATGGTTTCTTTGAGACATGCCACCAGCAGAGAGGTGGTTGAGTTTAGGTCCTGCTCTCCCTCAGTGAACCTGAGGGCAGGGAAGGCACTCAGGATCTGTGCCAGGAACCTGGGAGCCCCAAGATTGACCATGGCGAGGCTGCACATCTTCTTCACCGTGGCCTCTGGGTGCAGCACCATCAGCCTGGCCACAGACGCAATGGCTTTGGCAAGGCCTTGCTCGGAGGCACTCTGGGTGATCTGGTTGAATGCCATGTTCAGGTCCTCCGGGAAACCCTCCATGTAAGTGACCAGCTTCTCCGAGAGGCCCTTTCCCCCCCAGGAGCTCAAGATGCCCGACAGCACTTTGTTTTTGTCCAGCAGAGAGAGCTCGGAGTAACAGTCCAGAATCAAGTCAGTGACTTCTTCTGCCTGCGCCTGGGGGACCTCTCGGCCTGACGTGTTGACTGCCGTGACTGTTTCCAGCAGCTTCATTACTAAGCCTGGCTCCCGGAAAAGGGCTTTGTTACTTCCGAGGCAGTCCAGCCACTCGGCTGAGAAAGCCCACTTCTTCTCAGACGCAAAGATGTAGCACATCTCCATGTGCCGGTCCATCTTCTGCCCAATGATGGCCATGGCGATCGAGGCAGTGATGTCCTCTGAGCTCCTGCCCTTCAGAGTTGGGTTGGTCTTCCTCAGGAAGTTCTTAACGCACTCGGCCAGCTCCGAGACCATCTGGCCCTCCTCCTTTGAGAGATCCCTGGTGTCCCGGTAGCCCTCCAGGTTCTGGTTGAAGGAGGTCAGGCTGTCACACAGGCGATAGCTCCCATAACTCAGCCTCTCGCTGCTGTTGAGCATGGCCTGCAGCTCCTCCCCCCACTGCTGCAGCAGGCTGTGCAGGTACCCAAAGCCGACGAAGAGCGTCTCATTGGGCAGCTTGGCCAGTGAGGTCAGGCTCACGTCCCGCTCGGCCTCCTTCACCTTCTCTGCCAGGCCCTGCTGGTGGTAAGGGTTCTGGGTGTCAGAATTCCACAGGGAGATGAGCGTTGCGAGCTTGTCCAAGTACACGGTGATCGACAGCTCTTGAGGGTCTTCCTCCACCAATGCAAAGACGGTGAGCATGTCGGCCAGGTTAGCCACGGCACAGCACTTCAGGCTGGGGGCCGTGATGTTGTTCTGGATCTGCTTGAGGCCATCCAGCAGGACCTCCAACAAAGACATGATCGGGCAGGCATCTGGGTCGGCCTTGAATCTCTTTGGTGGATGGGAGAATTCATCTGAAGACGATAGGTACTTGTGTGCCATTGTCCGAAACTGGGTGAGCAAGGGGTCCTCTGGGTCCACTTTGTGCTTCATCATTTCCCACCAGACATCCAAAAAGAAGGTCACGTCTTCTAAGGATGTGTCGCTGGCCACATGCTCCACAAAACGTTCCAGTTCTGAGCGGCAGATGTTGGAAGGCAGGGCCATCAAAAGCTGGATGAACAGCCCTGATGCCTCGAGGGACTTGAGCAACTCAAAAAGGATGGTGTGGTTGATGGTGGGGATCATGTTCCCCACTGAGAAGAAGATGTCTTCTTGCCACCGAGCATCTGTGTCTGAAGGTGTGACAGGGCAGGGCTGGAGGACCTTGGCCCAGATGATGATCAAAGCTTTCTTGGTCCAGGCCTGGGGGTGGGACTGGGCAATTGCAGAGGAGATCTCTCGCAAGGCTTCAATGATGGGCTGTCCAACTTGCTCCCAGTCAGACTTCTTGAGTTCTGCCAGAGCCTTTGGGCTGAACAGCTGCTCGGCCAGCAGGAATCCCCCATGAAGAATGGTTGTTTCTTCACAGATATTCAAGGGTCCTGTGTGAAAGGAAAACATACAGGATGAGCAGAGACAAATCTTTCAGGACAATAAACAAAAAGGTTTCCTGGAAACACACCCTTTCTTCTTAAGGAAATGGCCATCTAAAATAGGCTTCACATGCCAAGGAGCATTCTTGCATGCACTGAATTGGCACCTCCTGCTGACTTCAGGTGGCTTTGCCCCACTGCCACCTGGAAACATTATAGAAACATGGCTACCTGGGCCAGCTGGAGCCACCATTTATTTGTGCTTTCTTATATATCCCTAACAAGGTTTCAGAGAGGTTCATGGATTTCAAGGAACCACTCAACCCTCCAGAATCTCTCTTCTATCAAGGAAAGCAAGCTAACTCCAGGCCTGTCCAGGACACCCTAGTAGAGCTGAGGCATCAGTATGAAACCAAGAACATGCCTGAAGCTGTTCCTGTAGAACAGTATAATGCCTCTTCTTCACAGACAGAAGATGGAGGAGACTCCTTTCTCCAGAACCTTCGTGAAATTACATGTGGATGCCAAAACTTCTCTTGTGCGGGTTATTTCTGGGATAAGGGGAAAGCTTCCTGAAGATGGTTTCTTTGAGACACACCACCAGCAGAGAGGTGGCTGAGTTGGGATCTTGCCCTCCCTCAGTGAACCTGAGGGCTCTCCTGTCTCTGCCTCTTTGGTGTGGCCCCCTCACCTCCTTCAAGACCAGCTCTAGCACTGCCTTCTCCATGGTGAGGACCCTCCTATATCTTATTTGTATTTATTTTGCATACACTCATCTATGGCATTGGAGTACTTCCCATTAGAACTGAAGCAGGGATTGTTTCATTCACTGTGCCTAGCAGAGAGCCTAGCACATAGTAGGCACTTTTAAATAGCTCGTTATTGACTGATTGGTCACACAAGAGGGTGCTGGGGTTTCTCCTCACCTTCAAGGCCAAACCTGACCTGGATGTGGCCTGCTGGACCAGGACTTCGTGGAATTCTAGCACCCCACTTCCCTTCCTAGGCTTTTCAAATTCCCTTCTGTCTTTATTTTTCTACTGAAAATGGACCTGGCCTCCAAATCAACCCATCTGAGGGTCACAGTCAAAACTGGAAAGGACCTCAGGGGCCATCCTGTCTGACCCTCTTATTTTATGGAATTGAAGCCCAGAAGGGTGACTCACCCGAGGTCATACAACTACTAAGTGGTAGCCCCAGGACTGGAGCCCAGGGCCCCTCCACTACACTGTGCCTGCCAGTGTGTGTCCTTCATTTCCTTGGGTGGATTTCTCTGCAGCACGCCGACCTCCCTACTTCCTTTGCCTTCCATGATGCTATGCCCTCCCACTATTCTGATGAGTCTCACTCCTCTCTCTCTGCCTTCTCTTCTACCTTCTCCCACCCCCTTGTAGGTGTTCTGCAAAGTTCACTCTTCACTGCTCTCCTCTGCCTTCCTACAGAGAACTCACCCTTTATAGTTTCAACTATCACCCTGACCTGAACAATTTCCAATCTGTCTCCAGCCCTGACCTCTCCCTGAACTCAGACTTCCGGGTGGAGGAGAGCACCCTTTCCGTCCCCACTTCCTCCTAGCCCCACGGATTCGGAGGCTCGTGGTCTTCCCCCCATCACGGGGCTCATTAGGAAGGGCCGGAGCCGCCCCCACCCCAACCCGCCCCCGGGCACAGAGCGGCCTCGGGGACTCCCTGGGTCTCACTTTCTCAATGGGAGGCGGAGGCCTTCGGGGGGGGGGAGGTTCCCGTGCTCGCCGGGGCCCCCCAAGTGAAGCGAGGCCCAAAGCACCCTGGGGTAACACGAGGGGCTGCGTGCAAGCGCCGGAAAGGGCTCTGGGGGCCCCAAGAGGGGATGGTGGCCAGGCCGAGGGGAGGGGGCTTCGTGGGAGGGGTCGCACAGGGAAGCGGCAAGGGCCCCTCGTGGGCCACTCCTTTGCCAGGGGTCTGGGTGAGTTGGGATCTTGCCCTCCCTCAGTGAACCTGAGGGCTCCCCTCTTTCTGCCTCTTTGGTGCGGTCCCCTCCACCTCCGGGAGGCCGGGGATCTCCGTGTCGCCCCTGCGTGTTTCCTTTCGGGGTTGGGGTGGGTTTTCTCGTCTGTTACGAGGGGGGAGGGGCGCGATTCCGGCCCGAGACCCGTCCCTGCCTCAGGCACCCGCGCCAGGAGCCCAGCACGTGGTGGGGTCCCTTCCTCCTTGGGGCCTCGGTCTGCTCCTCGGTGAGGGCCCCCATCCTCTCCCCGCAGGCCCCTTCTGCCCTGGCCTCCTCCCAGCCCGCCTCCCGGCGCAAGGCTCCCGCCGGCTCCCCCTCTACACTGCCGGATTCACGGCTGGGGGGGGGGTGAGGCGGGAGCGCCAAGGGCTCAGCACGCATGCTCGGCCGTGCCCGCGCCCAGCGAGGCGGGGGAGGGGTGCGCGCGCGGCCGCGCAGGCGCCCAGCGTGGTTTTCCCCCCCGCCCCCCAAGCCCGGCCAGACCCGGCTCGCTCACCTAGGTCCATGGCGATGGCGATGGCGGCGGCTGCGGCGGCTCCGGTTCCCGGCGGCAGCGCTGCCCTGCGGGGCTGTCCGCTCCCCGCCTCCCTCGCGGGCTCGCGCCGCGCCCGTGAGGCCCGCTCCCGATGATTGTGGCGCGGGCGCCAGCGCACAAAGGGCTGCGCGGCGAAGCCCGACGCGCGGCCGCCCGGCCCGCAGTCCCCGCTCCGCCTCTGGCCTCCTCGGCTGCGCCCGCGTCCACTCTTCCAGCCCTCCTCCCCTTTCCCTCCTGGTCGGCAACCCGCGCCTGATTCGACCAACGAGACCCACTTCGGCCTAGAGGGGCTTCCGTCCCCCTTCCTCTCCCTCTCCCCTCCCCGTCCCTCCCCTCCCCGCCCCGACAGCTCCCCCTACCGGACCGGACCATCAACCGAGGAGTCTTCGGGCAAGTAGTGGCTAACGGGCGGCTCCTGCTTGCGCTTGGGCTCACCCGCCCTGACCCTGACCCGGGGCTGACCTCGGTCCAGAGACACTGCGAAGAGAGTGGTGTCTCCCCAGTAGACACATACAGAGTGCCCCCCAGACACCCTTCCCACATAGACATACAGTGCCCCCCAGACACCCTTCCCACATAGACACATACAGAGTGCCCCCAGACACCCTTCCCACATAGACACATACAGAGTGCCCCTCTAGACACCCCTTCCCACATAGACACATACAGAGTGCCCCCCAGACACCCTTCCCACATAGACACATACAGAGTGCCCCTCTAGACACCCCTTCCCACATAGACACATACAGAGTGCCCCCCAGACACCCTTCCCACATAGACACATACAGAGGGCCCCCAGACACCCTTCCCACATAGACACATACAGAGTGCCCCCAGACACCCTTCCCACATAGACACATACAGAGTGCCCCCCAGACACCCTTCCCACATCGACACATACAGAGTGCCCCCAGACACCCTTCCCACATAGACACATACAGAGTGCCCCTCTAGACACCCCTTCCCACATAGACACATACAGAGTGCCCCCCAGACACCCTTCCCACATAGACACATACAGAGTGCCCCCCAGACACCCTTCCCACATAGACACATACAGAGTGCCCCCCAGACACCCTTCCCACATAGACACATACAGAGTGCCCCTCTAGACACCCCTTCCCACATAGACACATACAGAGTGCCCCCCAGACACCCTTCCCACATAGACACATACAGAGTGCCCCTCTAGACACCCCTTCCATAGACATACAAAGAAGTGTCTCCCCCATAGACTCCCCTTCCATAGACACATGCAAAGAGTGCCCCCCAGACAGCCTCTCCTGTAGATACATATAGAGTCTCCTCATTGACACGTAGACAGACCCCCCCCCCGACATGTACATACAGCACGTCCCCATAGACCCTTCCAGGACATCACTTCAGTGTCCCACAAGCACCTCAAACTCATTTGTTCAAACCTAAGCTTGGTTTTCTTTTCCCCTCTGGACTTCCTCTTCCTCTTCCTCTCTGCGGCTCCCTTAAGCTGAGCTCTTTTGCCATGGTTGGTAACTTTGGCGTTATCTTTGCCTCCGCCTTTCCCTTTCCCTTTCCCTGTTGCCATACTCCTATCCCAATTCTCTTTGGGATACCACCATTCTTGTAAGTCAAGTGGATTTGGGGTGTTCCTGTGTAAAGACCAGTACAGCTGTCACTCCTCAAATCCCGAATACGTGTGTGGCTTCAGCAGGATTATCTAGATATGGCAGCCCTCTCCTGAGGGGTCTTCCCACTTCTAATTCCACCGCCCTTCCTGCCTCAGCCATGATGGCCTCAGCCTTCCTAATGAATCTGGTCATGTTGAGCTCCTTAGGCCTGTCACATGGAGCCCAGGTTCCACTGCCGGGCGTTCGAGGCCCTCAGCTCCCAGCACCACCCGTTTTTCCCCCTTCTAAACCAAATCTCTGAGGTTAGATTGTCTTAGGTCATTTTTGTTCTTTTCTCTGGTGCCTGGTGTCTGGTGCCCTCTGCACACAGAAAGCACCAAATGTTCACTTTATGGTGCTTTTAAAGGTGCACAAAATGCTTTATTTGTGCAGAGGGAAAAGTTCTGTAGATTAAAGTAGTCCAAGTGATTATTATGATCCTGATTTTACAGATGAGGAAACTGAGTCTGAGAGGGCATTGATATTCCCCTTTACCTTGGTTACTCCCCTCACACAAACTGCACTCTGTGGTGGTGGTTTCCCAGGCCTAACTGACACACACAGGGAGTGTCTTCACTTTTCGTCTCTTCAGATGAATTCTATCACATTGATTGAGGGCCACTGTGTAGAGTGTTGTGATAGATCTGAGGGACAAGCTTGAAAGCCTCAGTAATAATAGCAGGGCAGTATACTAATATTTGCATATAACTACAATATGCAGAAAACATTAGATAAAAAATTGATTGCTTGGGGAGTAAGATGAAGGAAGGCTTCCTGGAAGAAATGACACATGAACTTAGGGAGAGGTGGACCAGGAGAGTGGTTAGAGAGGAGCCAGGAAAACCTGACTTGAGCTCAGTTCCCTCGGCTTCATCCTGGCTGGGTGAGCCTGGCTCCTTGAACCCAAGCCCGCTGAGCAGCCCCAGGCAAGTCTCTCTAAAACTAAGCTTGCAGAAAGGCACAGACTTGTAGAGGGTGCTTCCTCACTGGGCCTCCCATAAATACTAATAAACTGATGATAATTATGTGCCAGGCGCATGTATGAAGCACTTTACAATATCATCTCTTGTGAGCCTTTATGACAAGCCTGGGAGGTGTAGGGGGGGGCTATCGGAATCCTCATTTTATGGCTGAGGAAGCAAAGGCGGGCAGACAGAGGTTATGTGACTTTCCCAAGGTCACACAACTAGTAAATGTTCTGAGGCTGCATTTGAACTTAGGTCTTCCCGTCTGCCCCCTGTACGCTATCCACTGCATCACAAGAACCTCGATAATAAAGAAGGGGTGAAATGGAGCCATTCTAGCCTTGGAAATGGCATGAGAAAAGGAAATCAGAGGATAACCAAAAATCATCATCCTGCCCCCAAGCCTGCATTTACTGCACCCTCTACAACCCCAGCCCTTCACACATACAGTTTCTCCACTCAGTATAAACACTCTTTCCAAATGCTGAACTTTTTCTTCACATTAAATGCCCACTCATCCATCCACTGGCTCCCTGAACCTCCCTCCAGACCTCACACCAAGAAGCTCACCTCCCCATACTGAGCTTCTGTACATACTAACAACCCCGCAACATACACTAAGCATTTCCCCTAAAACACTGTTAACGTGTGCCCCCCCCAGTGCCAAGTGGTGCCCCCCAACCACACAGACATCCCACATGTCCTGTAGGGACTCATCCTTCTTGGGGGTCACAAAGGGCCCTTTGCAGGCCAAGAACTTTCTTGGACCAAACCCAATACAGACCATCCTCCCCACAGGCACCTCTGATTTCCACCCCCCTAACCCCAGGTTCCCCATAGAACCCACTGCCCCTCCCAGCTGACCTTCTTCAGACTCTCTAGTCTTGGCAGAATGAGTGGACTGCCTCACACCCCATACCATACAGGCCCCCTTCAGCCCCACGTGGCCCTTGAGTCGCGGTTCTCTTGAAATCTCTCCCCTTCTAGCTCCTGAAGACCAAGTTTCCCCTCCCCTAGAGCTAACAAGTAAAGAAAGAGGGTTCTTCACCTGTATGACCAGTGGCAACTGATGGCCCAGATAGAGTTTGAGCTGGCATGTGCAGAAGCCAAGCAGCTGATAGGCCACTTGAGTGACGAGGAGAAGCTGGTGGTGTACAGCTACTACAAGCAGGCCACCGCTGGGGACATCAACATCCCCTGCCCAGAGATCACCGACTTCAAAGCCAAAGCCAAGTGGGGAGCTTGGAATTGCCGCAAAGGGATGTCCAAGCTGGATGCCATGAAGATCTATGTGTCCAAAGTGGAAGAGCTGAAGAACAGACCTCCTTGCCCAGAGGGGGGAAAGCAACAGCTTAGAACTGAAGATACAGAGGAGGAGGACTGAATTCCTTTGAGACCATAGGAACCTAGTTAGGAACTAACTAATAAATCGCTTCAAAAGGCCTTCTCAGCATGGATTAATAGTGTGATGGGGTGGGGGAGGAGCAAATACAGATCCACTGGGGCCTGTAAGGGTTCTGAGAAGAGCTGGTACCCTGGGGCCCAGAGCCTTGAGAAATTAAGCTCTGGGCCCAGGTTTGGTCTGGAGCCAACTTCCCTCTGCCATGGTGGTTCATGGGGCTTGGTGCAGCTCTGGGGAGCCCCTTTTCATATTATGGGGAAACTATATAATGGGGAATTTTGGTGGGCAGACTTCTGGCCCTTGGTCTCACTCCAGTTCTGCCCGTGACTACTACTGGTGCATGCCCTCAGCAAGTTGGCCCTTTTTGTAATAAGTATTTTGCCTGTGCCAAAGGATTTTAGCGGGGGAAATAATAGCTGTTGGGGGGGAAGAACTGCTGCCGTATACATGCAAAATCATTATGAAGGCTCCCACTAGAACCCAGACCCAGACCTAGCAGTAAACTTGGGTGGGGGGAAAGAGTCTCGTCTTGGAAGATGGGAACATTTTTCTTCTACGTTATCTTCTTGGTCAGTTGCTTCGTACTCTTCGTGACCCTATTTGGGTTTTCTTGGCAAAGATCCTGGAGTGGTTTGCCATTTCCTTCTCCAACTCACTTTATAAATGAGGAAACTGAGGCAAACAGGGTAAAGTGACTTGCCCAAGGTCATCTAGCTAGTGTCCAGGCTCGGTGCTCTATTTACTGTGCCCACCTAGTTGCCATGCCATTCTAGGTCCTAACCAAATCAGCAGCCTAGCACCTGGTCAGGAGAACTTGGCTGTCGGTGGCAGGCATTCAACCCAGCCCAATGCTGGAGTTGTAGAAGGAGATGACGCTCTAGTTTTTAGTGATACTGACGTGAGATCTTCAAGATCACCAGAGAAAAAAAAGCGTCATTCCAAAACCTTGGCCCCCACAGGCCTCAACCCCACATCGAGGGCTTCCCAGTCCTGCTATGTACCCCTTAAAAGGCTTGGGTGCTTCTGGGTCTTTTTGTAACTTGCATGCATCCATTTCCTTTTTTTAAAGCTAAGTTTTTATTCATGTCTATTTCTTACATCATCATAGTTATCCCCAGTATCCTTCCCCCTTCCCTCCCAGAGAGGCATCCCATATAACATAATATTTTTTAAAAATTAATTTATTTTGATTTATCAACAATCACTTCCATAAGCTTTTGAGTTTTAAATTTTTTCTTCCCCTCTCTCCTCAAAATGGCATGCAATCTGATATGGGTTATACATATACATTCCTATTAAACATATTTTCACATTAGTGATGTTGTAAGTAAGAATTAGAACCAATAGGAGGAACCAGCAGAAAGAGGAAACAAAACACAACGGGAGAAAAAACAATATCACATAGTATGCTTCGATCTGCATTGAAACTCCATAGTTCTTTCTTTGAATGTGGATAGCATTTTCTATCATGAGGTCTTTGGAGATGTCTTAGATCCTTGATACTGCTGAGAAGGGTTAAGTCTATCAATATTAGTACCTAACTGGTTATGTTATTCCCTTCTTGAGCCAAATCTGATGAGAATAAGGTTCAAACAATGCTCATCTACCTTCCTTCCCTCTGTTGTAATAGGTTTTTGTGCCTTTTCCTGTAATGTAATTTACCCTTGTCTGCCTCCTACTTTCCTTTTCTCTCAGTACATTTTCTTAGATCAGATTAATCCACTTACTTGGATCCATTTAACCCACTTGGTTGGATTTTTTTTTTTATCATTACATCCAAGTCAACTTACACCCACCCCTTTAACATGTTGGAATAACAATACAGTTCTCAAGGATTACAAGTGTCATCTTCCCTTGTAGGGATGTAAACATTTGCCCTTATTAATAACATGTTGTTTCTTTCTGTCCCATTTACCTTTTTATGTCTCTCATGAGTCTTGTATTTGAAGATCAAATTTTCTGTTGAGCTCTGGTCTTTTTATGAGGAAGGGTTTGTAAGTCCCCTATTTCATTGAATATCCATCTCCTGCCCTGAAAGATCATACTCATTTTTGCTAGGTAAACATAGCATTTTTTTAAAGAGAAAAAAAATCAGCACAACGGATAGATGCATTGAAAATGTCTGAAGTGCCATGTGCAGCACCTACAGACTTCCCACCTCCATAAAGTGGGGTGAGTTGGGAGTGTCTTCTCAAATAATTTTGTTAAATTCACTTTTGATTTTGCTTTGTTCACGTGTGGGGTTCGTCCCAAGACAAAATCATCCCTTCCAGCACAAGCTGGAATCCCACCAATTCTTCAATTAGTGATAAAGCTCCATACACGCATGCACCCTTCTAGGGGCCAGCTAGGACAAGGGATGGATATAAAGCCTCATAAAAACATTTACAGAGAAACAGACTTGTCGAAACCTAGGGTTCCCCACTGCAGCATTTTCCCAAACTGGCTACTGTTGCCACAGTGAGTGTGTGATCACAGAAGGATGCCCACAAAAGTGACCAGCCTTATTAACCCTCCTTTCCCTTACGGCAGACAAAGAATCCAAAGTCAGGCCCACTGGAGACTTTAAGAACTTTGCTGATCAGGCGGCTATACAGGTCCCTCCCCTTTGAGGAGCAAGTGGGCCCTACTGCCCATGGACCTGCAAAACAGGGAGGACCCCTTGTGCTTTCTACAGCCATGGAAACAGAAATGACTTAGTGCTGGTCTGTCTCTTTCTAGGTAGAGATTAGAAACATAGAAGTCTTGTAGCTTTAAATGCTGGGATCTCTGTCACTGAATGTGACCTGAAAAGCGAGATTCCTACCTTTGAGGGAGGGAAGCCTCCCCTCTGGTCATATGATCCTGACAGCCACTATGGCTAAGGGCCAAAGATGGACTGGACTGTGACCTACGGACACCATAATGCTTAGAAGGGTCAGGGTGTTCCTCTGCCTCCCCATTTTAAAGCAGGCCTGGGTGGGCCCCAGTTTGGGGCCCTTTTGCAACAAAGAGTAGCTATTTAACACCCAAATCCCCCATAGAGAAGTGCTCCTTGTCTTCACAGGGCCCATGGCGACTGAAGAGGAGTTTGATTTTACCCAGTGTACCCACTACCTATGTTTGTAGGGCTAGAAGGGGTAAACAACTGTTCCTAATTCCACACTCAGTATGTAGATCGGTCACTGAATTTAGCATCTCCAATTGATAAATGGTGAAAGGATATAAACAGGCAGTTTTCAGATGAAGAAATCAAAGCTATCTATAAGTCATATGAAAACATGCTTTAAATAAGTACTGATTAGAGAAATGCAAATTAAAACAACTGAGGTACCACCTCCTACATATCAGATTGGCTAATACGACAGAACAGGAAAATGATAAATGTTGGAGAAGATGTGGGAAAATTGGAACACTAATGTGGAATTGTGAACTGATCCAAACATTCTGGAGAGTATTTTAGAACTATGCCCAAAGGGCTACAAAAATGTGCATACCCTTTGACCCAGCAATCCCACTGCTAGGTCTGTATGCCAAAGAGATCACAAAAATGGGAAAAGGACCCACATGTACAAAAATATTTATAATAGTTCTTTCTGTGGTGGCAAAGAATTGGAAATTGAGGGGATGCCTATCACTTGGGGAATGGCTGAACAAGTTGTGGTATATGAATGTAATGGAATACTATTGTGCTATAAAAAATGATGAGCAGGCAGACCAGAAAAACCTGGAAAGACTTGTATGGACTGATGCTGAGTGAAGTGAGCAGAACCAGGAGAACGTTGTACACCGTAACAGCAACATTGAGCAATGACCAATTTTGATAAACTTAGCTCTTCTCAGCAATGCATCATGGTCTAAGACAATTTCAAAAGATTCATGATGGAAAATGCTATCCACATCCAAAGAACTATGGAGTCTGAATGCAGATACAAGCATACTATTCTTTGTTCTTTCTTTCTCATGGTTTTTCCCTTTTGTTCTGATTCATCTTTCACAACTAATGTGGAAATGTTTAATATGATTGTATATATATATATATATAATATATAAAATATATATATATATATACATATATATAAATATCATATAACCTATACCAAATTACTTGCTGTCTTGGTGGGGTGGAAATTTAGAACTCAAAATCTTACAAAAGTGGATGTTGAAAACTATCTTAATGTGTAATTGGAAAAAAAAACTATTAAGTGGAAAAAAAAATTTAGCATCAATATGACTCATGGACTTTATATTAGTGTGAGGGAGAGCCAAGTCAAAGAAATGTGGTTTTGAAAATTTAAACTAGCTAGAAATATTTAAAACAGAATGTGGTATACTACCAAATATAGTCTATATGAAAGATTGTTCCTTTTTGGTCCTTGGAATAAAGTCAGCAGGGAATAGCTTTGATTTCATCTTATGACTCAGAAGTTGTGTGGCACCATGGGAAGTTGGACTCTCAGAACCATAACAACTTCAAGCCTATCAGCTGTGTACCCCTGGGTAAAGGAACAAGTATTGATTACATGCCCACTATGTCCCAGGCACCAAAAACATCTCCTTTAATCTTCATTCTTCTTGGAAAGTAGGGGCTATTATCTCCATTTTATAGTTGAGGAAACTGAGGCAGAGGTCCAGTGACTTGCCCAGGGTCACACAGCTTGACAAGTGCCCGAAGCTGGATTTGAATTCAGACCTTCCCAACTCCAGGCCTGGTGCTCTAACCATTGCTCCACCGGTCTCTTAAGCTCTCAGTGCTCTAAGCTAATGGTGTCAAACTCAGAAACAGATCCCTACTGGCCACACGTTGACTTAGAAAAACAACAAATTAATACAACAGATGTTGTTAAATATTTCTCAATTACATTTTGGCCTGGTTCTGCTCTTAGGAGTGAGCTTGCTCTTCAGGCAGCTGCAGAGATGATGAAGACCTGGCCCGGGGGCCTCCTCACTTGGGGAATGCCGTGGCCAATGAAATCATTAGTTCGGTTCCCATGCTGGTAATCCCGCCCTTGGATCTGAGGCTCCATCACCAAGCGTTGGCCGTTGGTCCCTCTGATGAGCTGGGACAGCCCGCCTTCCCAGTTTCCTCCCTTGCTGGATGTCTTTGGGCAGAGGCTAGACAGCCATATGTAGGTCATGTTGAAGCTCAGATTCCTTTGGAGAATGGGTTGAATTAGGTGGCCATGGAGGTCCTTTCTACCTCTCAAAATCTGATTCCTCAGAACACAGAATTATCTCTTCTGTTTGGAAATTTGTGTACTGGCCTGTTTATTGAGTCGTGGGCATGCTTGCTTCCCCGTCTCCTAACATCACTGACCGACCCAAATTGGGTTCAGTGGTAGAGAGTGAAGAGAGCTGCAAGTACTGGAACCCATAAAGGAGCCAATGAAGTCTGACTCTCATTTCCAGAGATGAGCAGGCAGGGCAGAGCAGAGCAGAGGGAGCTGAAAGGGCTAGCTATAATCCCTCTTAAACATCTCATCTAGGCTTTTTTTTTTTTTTTGGTGAGGCAATTGGGGTTAAGTGACTTACCCAGGGTCACACAGCTAGTAAGTATCATGTGTCTGAGGCCGGATTTGAACTCATGTTCTCCTGACTCCAGGGCTGGTGTTCTAGCCACTGTGCTGCCTAGCTGCCCCTTTAAACATCTCATCTAACTCTGAATACAGAACATTCTCCCAAGTCAACAGATATGGATGTTTATCTTCGAAATGTTATCTTTATACCCATTCTTGTACGACTAGGAGACAGGCCCATATTATACATCAAATAATAAAATCACCCTGTGACCAATGAGTGGAAGAACTGATCAGCTCCTTGGCTTTTCCATCTGTCAAGTACTGACTGCTTCTCCTTAGATAGGAATTGGTTTTTGAGGTTCTTTCTGGCTGAAGAGTTACTGAGCACCTCAAACATTCAACTTCCTCGATACGAAACAGGATGTACTTTAAACCTGTACAGAATCAGAGTCATCACATTACTGGGATATTAGGCAAAGGAGCAATGAAGTGAGTTAGGAGCTGACACTGTCATGGTGCTTTACCATTAACCTTTGCTGTGGATATACACTCCATCAGCCTACCACGCTAATGACATCATGTGTAGGTACCCTTTGTACCGTATCCTCACAAGCCCAGGCACATAAAGAATGGGGGTGCTGCCACATATCGGCCCACTGCACTGACTGGTGCACCTGTTTGAACGACGCAGGACAAGGTGTTGGGGAAAAGCTTTAAGATGGAAAATAGGAACTGAAAAAACGAGACACTGAGAAGGAAATTTATTTGATAATTCAAGGTCTATGTAAACAATTCCTTTACCCACAGAAAATGTAATCTAATCATTAAGCAGAAGAAATAACAAAGCATGAAAGAAGAAAATGTACAATCTGTTCTCCTGGAAAAAACCGGATTTCTCAACTGCTTTGCAAATGCTCAGATACCTTCAAGATTACAATTGTGTAATTCATTTGAAATGTACATTAGGAGTTGCTGGGATGAGGGAAAATCTTCCCAAGGCTATTAAAATTCAGAAGCAGAGGTGAGGTGGTTATTTGGTCAGGGTGTTCTCTTCAAATCCCAGCTCTGGGTGGGGGATAAGGGCTTACAGTTTAAATTTTAACCTGTGCTTCTGGGATTAGTCAGCCTCCCTAGCCCCATTCTAGCCTCTTTATTAAAGTAATTAAGCCATCACTGCTTTCATTCCTGAGCCTAAGAGTCAGATGTACTTATTATAAGCACACTATATTTTGGGGGAATTTTTTCCTTTTCTGAAATGGACAAAGCCAATCCCAGTCAACCAAGCAATTAGTGAAGTAACATCTCCATGCTCAGTTGTACCAAACAGAGGTGTAAACACCGCCACAAATCACACGGAAACTGAATTTAAAGTCTGACGCCACTTAAATCATTTCAAGCAATCCAATAAGGACATTCTGTTTTCCTTTGGCCTCTCCACAAGTATGAAAAGTGAAGAGGAAAATAGACCAAATCACTTGACCCTTAGGTTGAAGCTCCAAAAGTCTTCATCCCTTCTCCACTTACCACTTTTGAATCTCCTACTTAACAGGGGCTTATTATTTTTGGGGTGGCTAACCTGCATCCTTCATTGCTTAAGATTCTGACCTGACATTTTAGTAAATGTGATAGAGTTCTAGCAGCAGGCCCTAGCACCTTGCCTTGGTCAGAGTATCTGCCCAGATGGGCATCTTCTAGTTCTTGGGGAAAGCCACTATTTCTAAAATACTAGCAAATCCTGAGCAGAACCTGTCCCACCAGCAATACACACAGACCAGTTGGTAAAGCAGCTTGAATCTGTGATCAAGATGGTGGACAAATGAAAGGAGGAGAAGACTTTAAAGATCCAGAATTTAAATTTCAGTAAGACTATTTCCTCTTCCCCAAAAGGCAACTGAAGGCTATAATGAATGGGAGCACTTGAAAACACTTTATCTCTAGTGCTGGATGGGAATCGGGATGAACAGCATAAATCTTTGTTCAAATGATGTCTTCCATTATCCAGAAGGCTTCTGTATTTTGTGTTTAGCAAACCATTCGTCACTTTTGTCTGCTGCCATTGCCTACAAGAAGAGAATCGGGGAAGATGGTGGTTATAACAGAGAAAATAAAATACCAGCCCCCACTGGACTTGAATGAAGTGCTCCCCACTTGAGAAGTTGGGGAGGTGACTGGCTGGATGGGCTACGCAGCACTACTGGCCACCATCCCCCTCCTCTGCCAGCTCTCACATACAGGAGGCACGATGTAAATGCAAAGAACGGCAAACCACAAACTGGACACTACACACTGTGTAATTATAATGACCAAGCTGGGCCCCAGAGGGACAGGGGAGAAGAGGCACCTTCCTCCTCTACTTGCAGAGATAAGGAACACAGAAGACACTTTTAGAGTCAATTGATACGGTGGTTAGTTTTGTTGAACTGATTTTTCTTCTTCAGAGATGGCTCTCTGGGAAAGGAAAGGGGAATGGGTATAGGAAAATGAATGATATCAAAAAAGATACCAATTAAGTATTAAAAATAAGAAATGCTTATGAGACTCAACCTCATGTTCTCCTCCTTTGCACCAAATCAGGTCGATAATAATTTACTAGGCACCTACTGTGTGCCAAGCATTTTGTAAGTGCTGGAAAGACACAGAAAGGCAAAGGCAGACCCTGCTCTCAGAGGTCACGGCCCAGCAAGGACAGGGGCAACAGGCAAAAACCATGAACGTACGAGCTCCAGAGAGGATAAATCAGACATTAAACAGAGTAAGGGGAAGGTGATCCAATTAAGGGGAACTGGGAAAGGCTTCCTGCGCCAAGTAGGATCTGAGCTGGGGCTTAAAGGAAACCAGGAGGCAGAAAGGAGGAAGGGGAGCAAGCTAGGCCTGGGGGATGGTGAAAGAAAATGACTTTAAGGCTCAATAATGAAAAGCTATGAACTCCTGGATGTTTTTGCAATACAGACCAAGTCCAGGAAAAATCCCTTGCTGGCATCCTCCATAGTGGCAGTTTGCTGTCACCCCAGTCAAGCAACAGACCTGGCTGTTTCCAGTGCCTACAACTGAAGGCATGGTTTTTAAAGTCAGAACCAGGGCATCCTGACATGAGTCACTCCATCCCAACGTCATCCAAGGCACTCTGGGATGAGGGCAGCAAAAGGGCACACGGCTCCAGAAGAGAAACGAGACTTACATCATCCAACAATTTGCTCCCATTTGGATCCATCCTGGAAAGTTCTCGAAATGCTTCATCTCCCACGAAACAAATCTCATGTCCATCCTAAATATGTCAACAAAGGGTCAGGGTTGTGGCCCAGGGCAGCTTCCTGGCCCGGCCCAGCCCCACTGGGCCCTGCCCAGGCTTTTCTTAGCGCAACTACTCCTACTTACCGGGTCTGCCAGAATAACCACTTGGACCGCTGCTTTCCCAGGTGTGTCCAGACTAACCAGGGGGGTCAGAATCTTCTGGTTCTCCTTTTTCATCAATGCTTCTATGTCTGGTAACTTAAGAAACAGAGAGACACACAAGCGGCTTGGGGTCATGAGCTGTTCTTTGCACAAGGTCTTTGCCAGTCAGGGCAGACGAATGTCAAACAGAGGGGAGAGAACCGTGGCTCCCTGTGTTTGCTTTCAGTATCTTGGCCACACACAGGACAGCTGGAAAGTGTGATGAAGTGGTGCTCTAATGAGGGTGTGGGGTGGGGCAGGGCAAGGTGCAAGAGCAAGCCAGAACATCTGGGCACCTCAGATCAAGAGACAGGGAAGGGGAAGGGGGCAGATTTGCAAGGTGGCCTGGTTAGAGACAGCCAAGTAGTGTTGTAGAGGCTGGAACTGGGCCAGGCAAGGCCAAAGCCTCCCCAGGCTGAGGAAGGTTCCAGGGCAGAGCCCAAATTCCTGGGGAGAAGACTACAAGACAGCAAGGGCCAAAGACAACATGCAGGGAAGGCAGACCTGGGGCCTTTCATTACCTCTTTCTTTGGGCAGGAGAAAGCAATCCTCCCAAAGGCTGTGCCATGATCCACTGCTCCCTCGATGCCCTGCAATTCCAGCTTGCACTGAAAAGAACCAAGAGGTGTCCACGTCAGGATGCAGACTGCCCCTCCTGTCTGCTGGCTAAGAGTGCTTCCGTGCACGCTTGGCCCGGCCCGGCCTGGCGCTGCTCACCTGGCTCTCTGCATAGCCCAGCACAGCCCTCTGCTGCTCTTCATCCTTCTCATAAACTGTCATCCCCAGCAGGTCTGACCAGTAGTGGAGGGACGTGCACAGGTCAGACACGGCCAAGCTCACTTTCAGCACTGGGTCTGTGGACCACAAACACTTACTGTTACCTGCATGCAGTTCTTGCCTTCTCATGCCATGTGCTACTTCCTGGTGACTGTCCCTCTCTCCGAGAAGTCCCAGCCTAATTACACATAGTCAGTGCAAGCAACAGGACCACTGAGTCCAGGAGCCCGACATCTCACGTCCCACATCTCACCTGCTCCTCCCTGTTTTGCCACCTGGGTCCAGGCACCTGCTGTCCCAAAGGACCGATTAAGGTGGAGGGGCAAGAGGGCCAGACTGACAACAGGGGACCCAGTACTGGAGTAATGGATGGGAAAGACAGGCTGCAAGTAAGTTAGGGACACTTTGAGAGGGGCTTAGAATGAGACCAGGGTGGTGGTCCGGATCTGCCCAACACATAATCTGACTCTGGGACAAGCCCTTGAGGCTGACTCCTATTTCTCCTCTCTTCAGATTCAGGGAGCCCAGCCCTGAGTAGGTGCTTAAACGGTTGGTGGATTGGGACCAAACAACTCTACCCACAAGGTGAAAAACAGACAGCTGAGACAGGGCAAGTGGGCAGATGGACCCTCCCAACACCTCAGCATGTTGGCTTAGGCCCAACTCGTGAACAAGAACCTGGAGGTGAAGAGGCCAAGGAGAGCAGAAATGCCTCCTGGGACAGAGCCTGAGACTTGCAGACAGCCCGGCTCCTGGGTGAGCAAAGCCAGTGGGCAGAAACCACCCCCCAGTGTGTGACGTGCCCTCTTGCCGTTCCAACTCCTCACCCAGAGGCCTGTGTGCTGGCCTCCCCTCCACTGGGCCCTCTGGGGCTTCTGGGGCCTTCTTCACTTTGCTCTCGGCCCTCCTGAGGTAGGAGGGGCGATGCTGGGCATGGTAGTCGGGCACAATCATTCCTGCCAGCATAAGTACCTGATGGGGGCTGACTGTGGTTCTTTAAATAGAACTTATATCCTCCTGGGGCTTCAGTTTCGAAAACTCCCTCAGCAACCTCATGGAGCGGCCACTCCAACTTCTTGGCGTTAGTGACAGCCTGGCTGGAGACCAGTGTGAGGCCCTGGGACAAAAACATACCAGAGTGACTCCATCTGATTGCTATCCCGATAAGACACTCATTTCATTTACAGAGCAAAATAAGGCAAAACCCTGTGACTGGCAGTTCTGATTTTATCTCAGCTTAAATTTCTTGGCACTGAAGAATTTCCCTCCTCTCATTATGAGCAGATAGAGAGACTGTCCAAAAGATAAATTCTGGTGACTCCCAGGGAAGAGACCTGGAAAAGCCGGCCCACTTATCAAACAAGATGAAAGGTAAGCCATTCAATACCAAGGAGATTCTCTCAGAACTTTAAAAATCCCTTGAAAGATGGTCATACCACCTTCCATACTCAGTTTTCCCTGCCTTGAAAGTGCAAGCCCGAGAGGTGTCTGGTGCAGCAGATGGAGAGCCCCACTCAAGAAGGGCTTGGCTCAAGTCCTGACTCTGACCATCGTGGCTGTGTGACCCTGACAAGCCACGTCACTCTTCCCATTTCATTATGAGCAGTGTGGTGACGATGAAGCTACAGAGCTGCTGCTACCGCGAGCTCTCCACAGCTTCAACTCGGCATCACCGATGCTTCCTGCACGTTTCAAATGGGATGGACTGCAGGTGCCTCAAACTTAGCCCAGCCGCACGCGAACTTGTCATCCTTTTCTCCCAAAGCTCCTGTCTCCAGAAGAGGCACTGTCAGTCTTTCAGGCCTGGATCCTTGGGGTTGTTTTTGACGCCTCCCCCTCGTGGGGCCTGCCCTCCCCGACTACTCTGCACCCAATCAGGTCCTGGTCACAACGGGAGGGCCTTGGTTCATTCCCTGAATCCTGTACCAGTCATACATGGCGCTTACAAAGTCAGGTGGCTGAGATGGATTCTTCACCAGGAGCTCCCTCAACCAAAGAAATCAGTGAAAACAAAAAAAGGAAACGTGGATTTGTGATTCCTGCTTTCCACGTAATTCTCATACAAGCAGTGCACCGGTGTCCACTCTGCCCACGTCTCAGTCAGGATGCAGCCAAGTCTCACCAGATGATCAAAGAGTCAGGCCAGAAATTTGCAGTCTTCCTTGTCGGTGAGGTTGGGCCTCCCTCCCTCCCTGCTTCCATCTCACATACAGCCTAGAAACCTGCCCTGCTTTAAAAGAAGCCAGGCACAGGCTACAGTTACAGGGGGAGCTGTCAGGAAGGATCCGGCTAAGGAGGGGACTGCAAATCCCCATGGAGTAAGCCTGAGTGATACTGTTCCTAAGGGTTGGGACATTTCTGAACTCCTCTGTAGCTCCTGTTAAAGGAGAGATATCTGCAAACCAAACTGTCCTTTGGAGACGGGCACAGACTCTTACCAGCTCAATCCTGGATGATGCCACAGTAGTGGTATTGCCATGCCCCTCTGGGATGACTACCCAAGTGCCTGCGTCCCCTCGGTTTAAATCAAACCAGGCTGCGCAGCAGTGTCCAGCTGGGACTGGTGGGATTGTTCTGTCCCAGAGTCAGTCACTGGCAGTAAGAACCATCCAGCTGGGTTCACAAAGCTAGGGCTGGAGGGGAGCTCAGAGGTGTTCTAGTCCACCTCCCCATTTTACAGATGGGGAAACCAAGGCTGTGCCTCTCTGACTCTAGAGGAAGCTCATGGTGGTGGGGTTAACTACTTTGTATGTTATGTCCTCATGGCCTCCCTCATTATCATGTAAGCGCACTGTGAGGAGGGATTGTTTCATTCTCTGTCGTGTATCCCCAGCGCCTCTGGGGCCACATCCACACAGTAGATGCTTCAAAAATGCCTGTGAGGGGGGTTCCACTAGGACCAGAGGAGAGAACCCCCAGTTTGGGATCAAGGGAGGTGGGGTACTGCCCCGAGGCCTGGCCACCCCTCCCTAGGTGTAATGAGGGCAGGTGGAAGAAGCACCTAGCCTACAGAGAAGTGAAAAAGCAACTCCATGACTGCCTCCCTCCGCCCCTCAGAAGTATAAAGTTTGCTTTTACAATCACAATCAGGGCCTAACACTTCCTCTACTCCACACACTGGCTGCTGAGCCTGAGGAAGAGAGGGCTCTGGAGGTGCAGGTCAGCTCTCCTCTGCCCCAGAGAGGCCGACTTGGGCCTCACGACTGGAACAGTTTCTGGTTGGTCAGGAGCTGCCCGGGGAGGTTGCAGCGACCCCTCTTTCTCCCTTCAACCCAAAGATCACCCCACAGAGCCTGGCTGACTGCTGGATGCATGGTAGGGAGGATTCTCTTTGGGGTACGGGTTGGACAAATGGCTGCTGGGGTCCTGTCCACCTGATTCTGTGAAATGCAACCATCTGCAGCCCCTCCAAGGCAGGTGAAGGAGACACTGGCCTTGTTCTCACCGCCCACCATCCATGAGGTGCCCACTGAGGTGCCTTTGTCCAACCTGCGCCCCGTGCCTAGAACGCTCTCCCTTCTCACCGCCACTCTGGGCAGCTCGCACTTCCTTCAGGATCTGATGCAGGTGCTATCTTTTCTCCCTGAAGTCCCTCCTGATTTCCCCCAGCTGCCAGAGGCCTTGTTCCCTCCCTGCCTTATAACTCTTCTCTGTGTGCATTTAAAATGTGTAGACACTGAGAACAGCAGTGGTTTCATTTTTTGTCCACCTCCTGGCATACAGAAGGCATTGCTAACTGACTGCAGAGGGTATAGCAAGGTGGAGAGAAGAGCTGGAGCAGGAAGGGGGCTCAGGAAATTCTGTGGTGGCTAGTAAAGGTAATGTGTGGGTGCCCTGCCCATTCCTGGAAAGCTTAATGAACTGAATGGTCCCAGCCTGAGGCATTATGGGTAGTCCCCCATGGTCTTATGGTTGTCTATCCTGGTTCCCTCTTCCCAAGCTGCCTGCCAAGCTTGCTGCAGGACCGCTCAGCTCAGAGCCCAGGGCCATCGACCCAGCACCTGAACCAATGTCAGTCCCCCTCCTCATGTTTCCCTCACCTGTCCTTGAGAAATGCTGCAGTAAAAACCACACAGGAAGTCTGCAACCCTTACCAGGAAGTCATTGCCAAGCCGGTAGTCACCAATGCCATAATTGTAGGTCAGTTCTGCGACAAAGTGATTGTCTTCAGACCCATAGCCCACCATGGTTTTACTCCACTTCCCGTCATAAGGCCTGGAAACAGAGCCAATGAACAGTGACAACAGGAAAACCTACCTCCAGCCTCCTGGGAACCAGCAGCTGTGATGCAGGCAAAGGCTCCTGGGAAGGCCCCAGACCTGAAATCTTCCTACACCTCAGATGGGAGCCCCAGCAGAGCCAGGAAAAGCACCTTGTTTAAAAAGTGCTTGGTTTCTAATATGTTAAGAAAGCCCCAAAGACAATAGCTTGGGAAATACACTTGAAGATTCTGCCTTTCACAGCTGTGACCACTGATTGGGAAAGAAATCTTAAAATCTAACATTTAGAGTCACTGGCTTGTTACCCAGCTCCCAAAGAAGATGCTCAGTGGTCAGCTTTGGGTCCATTAAGGGCTTACTTGTTTCCATAAAAATTGGTCACTTGGGAAGGAGAGTGCTTTTTACCTATTCTCTCAAGTGATAAACTTGTAAAGATTCAGAACCCAAGAGAGCTAAGAATTACCAAATCAATAAACATTTAGTAAATATCTACTGTGTGCAAGGCAGTCTACTTGGGACACAAAAGCAAACATGAAAATCAGGCCCTGCCCTCAAGGAGCTTATATACTGCCAGCGATGGATAGCAACATGTAAACAGGAGGAAAAGAACACCCACCACTGGGACACCCACCCACCCATGGAGAGCCCTGAACCACATCTTCACTGAGCTGGTGATGATCTGAGCTGAATCTTGAAGAAAGCAAAGAGAATCCAAGAGGTAGGGATAAGGATGGAGCACAGGCCACATATGGGGAATGGACGGCTTGTGTGAAGGCAAAGAGATGAGATCAGGACCTGGAATTAGAAGGGACTGTCTCAAGGTTATCTAGCCAACCCCCTCATTTTATACATGGAGAAACTGAAGCCCACAGTGGTGAAGAGGGCAGCCCAAGGTGACCCAAGGAGTAAGGAGCAGAGCTGGGGCTGACCAAGGTCAAGGTCCTTTGCCCTCAAACCCAGGGCTCTTTCCAGGACGTCTTCACAACTAGCCCAATCTCCCTTTCCAGACTCAATACAAGCCATCCCCTTTCCCAGACTCTTTGGTCCCATGCCATCCCTCACACACAACACTCCCTGCCTAGGATGCCCTCCCTCCTTCAGTCTCAGGCCCCCTGGTTTCCTCCAAGGCTCAGGGAAGACACCACCTTCTAAACAAGCCTTTCCTCACGCCCTCAGCTTCAGCTCCCTTCCCCAAACCATCTTGTCTCTGTTTTGCATCTACCTGCACAAACATGTTGCCTTCCCCTGGGCTAGATTGTGAGGGCAAGAATGGCCTCCCTTTTGTCTGGTAGGGCTGGTGCTGAGCACAGGACACGGCACACTGCTTAATAAATGCTGGTTTAGTGACAGAATGCAATGCCAAATTCAGAGCAGAGCTCAGATCAGTCTAGCTGGAACACGGCAGCATAGGTTAACAAGGACTAACCCAGGAGAAGTCTCAAATACAGGCAGCCGTGAAACTTCAATGGGTTTCAAATGCTTAGTGTTTGGGGCTTGTATTTTATCCTCAAGGTGACCGATCAGGGTTCTTAACCTGGGGTCCGTGGACTTGTTCTTAAAAATATTTTGACAACTCTCTTTCAACATAATTGATTTCTTTTGTAACCCTACATATTTTATTTCAAGATCCAGAGAAGGGGTCCCCAGGCTTCATTAGGCGCTGCCGGAGGGGTCTAGGACAAAAACTGATGAAGAATCCTTGTCATAAGGAGCCACTAAAGATTTCTGAACAGGAAGTGACATCATTAAGAAATAACATGACCCTTGAGGTGGGGGACTATGGGTATGAAATGCTGCATATAATGTTAAGACTTGGTTGCAGGGCTGTTTACTTTTGCTGAACTATTTCCAGCTTTCTTTTGTAATCAGGGATGGCTCTCTGGAAGGTGGGAAGGGATACACTGAGAACTACGGCTGATACAAAAACAAAAAGTGACCTACCCATTACAGGAAGCCTTGCAGCCTTCCTCAAATTCCTCATGCCGTAGGATCTGTAAGGAAATCAATGTTAGCTGCCAGGCTGTGTGTGCTCCATATGGCCGAAGGCCCCCCGTACACACTGCCCACATTACCACTCACCAGGAGACTTGCTCCACGGTGGGTAATCCAAACTTTCCTGCTTGGACCACTGCCCTTTCTTGGTTGGATCTTTATCTGGGCAGGCAGTGGCCGAGGGGCAGGGGAAATACTGCAGGTTCATGGACACCCAGAGTTGAGAGGGAGAAAAGTGGGTGGGGATCATTCTCTGGATAAGTATGGGGGGGGGAGGGAGAGAGGGGGAGGGGGAGAGAGGGAGAGGAGAGAGAGAGAGAGAGAGAGAGAGAGAGAGAGAGAGAGAGACAGAGAGAGAGAGAGAGAGAGAGTGTGTGTGTGTGTGTGTGTGTGTGTGTGTGTGTGTGTGTGTGTGTGTAGTACAGGGAACAAGGGGCTAGCTCTTCCTATGGCTTTCAACCTTGCTACATTCCACTTCTTGCAGTCCTCCACCCCTGTGCCAGCTCTCCCAGCAGAGTCCAACATCTCTGGGCTGGAATGCACTGTCAACATTTTTTGGAAATATGAAAAGTTCCATCCCACCTGTGGGCAGAGAACCTAGGATGTATAAGGCCTTGTGCTAGGTGCTTTTGGGAGGTGGGGACAGGAAGGGGAGGGGGAAAACATGGCACTGGCCCTTAGGGCTCCTTCTTCTTGAGGAGATAAGATGGCCACATACAAACTACAAAAACAAAGAAAGTTCAGAAGGTGATGGTCTGGCAGCAAAGATGGTGAGAACATGTCTGGTGGGGGATGGGGCTTCATGGAGGAGTCTGACAGTCCACCAGGACTTTGCACAAGGGGCAAGAGTTAGCACACAAATAAGCATGACACAAATTAGAATGAGAAAAATACCTAAGAAGATGAGATGAAGAAGAGCTTGGGGGAGAGGGAATCTTCTCTAGCTGAGGAGGCAGGTGAATTGCATTAGGTGCTAGGTGCTGGAAGAGGCCTGGGCCAGCCTGGGGCATGGGGGTGGTTCGGCCTGAAGGGTAAGAATATGAAATAGGGCTGGAGAGGTGGCTGGAGACAGACAAAGAGGGCCAGGAGTTTGCATTTTCTCTTGTGCTCTGATGGCCTCATGCGGCAGGGAGGTGACTGCATTCTTGAAGCCATCTGGGCAGAGCACAGAGATCTGGCAGGTCCTGCTGAGGGGGCTAGGCTGGCTCTACGTTTGGCCCTGTCTACTGAGCACCAGTTCAGGGAAGTTCCAAGATACTTATACTCCTCACCAGAAGGAACTTCTTGATCACACTAACCCAAGACAACTGCCCTCGGAGGTCCAGAGGTCAATGGGTGGATGCCTGCACCCATAGGAGGTCCTCAGACATAAGCATTTTATCCTTCTGGTATTAAGGAGGAGCTGAAGGCTTCCTGATGCTACTTATCCAATGGTTAAGGCAATCACTTAAGCAGCTGGGGGGGGGGGGACAGGTAGAGGGAGGGGTGGGCAGCACAGAGCTCAGTGAAGATGCTGTTAGAATAATCCTAGGGAAGGAAGATGAAAGACAGTACTACAGTGATCACAGATATGGAAAGGAGGGGGAAAAGGTAATATATAAGGAGCGTAGGGAATTGACAGGGCTTGGCAACCGATCAACTGGGTGTGAGGATGGTGGTGAGGGAGAGGGGAGAGTCCAAGAAGCCTGAGGTTTGGAGGCACGATGTTTGGGATGATGGTGGTATCATTAAGAGAGATGCAAAGCTAGGGAGAAGGGGAAAGCTTGTGGGGAAAAGGAAGAGTTCCATTTTGGACGGGGGGGGGGGGGGGAGGGGGGGTGTTTGCTCTGGGCATCTTTAAATGGCAGGCCAGGTGGAGGTGTCTCAGGCAGATGGAGACTGTGCTGGGGGCGAGGCGTGGAGACATAGTGCTGCTGTCTCCTGCAGTGGCCCTCTCCATTTCAGCTGGGATGTCTTGCCTCCTTCTTCAATCTGGCATATCACATCCCGGCTCCAAGGCCCTCACCCCAGACTTCTGATGCACATCTGGCTTGGTTTCCCATTTCTACAGCCAGATCGGGCAATCCCAAAGGCAAGGCCAAGGCTTCTTCCCTTGGAAGTCTCTCATTCTCCTGAACCCAAGCCACCTGATTTAGGAGGTGCACTCATACTCCTGTTGTGGCATAACAGAGAGCACTAGGTTTGGAGACGAGATCATTGGGGGAGCACGCGAGGGTCCTCAGAGGCCATCTGGCCCAACACCCTCATGTGACAAATAAGGAAACAGGCCTGAGGCAACAAAATTACTTGTCCCAAGTCATCTGGTTTTTCTGGGCCTCAGTTTCCCCATTTCCTCTACACACCTTAAAACCCTATACATTTCCACCTGTCCTTTCCTCCTCTGCTCAGTATCTGAGGAGGAGTTTGGTCTTGTCCTTGCCAAGGTCAGTTCCTTCTAAAACATGCCAACACAACCTTTCTCACCTCCATCAGTCATTTCTTCTCTCTCATTTCTAGTGTCTTCCCACCCACCATCTCCCTCACCTTCTCTATTGTTGGAAAACCTCGCCTTGATCTTACAGTGATCACCTAATACATCTCCTCCCTTTCCCTATTAAGCTCCGAGAGTTGTCTACACTTCCTATTTCTGCAGCCTCACCACCCAACCACCCCTTAACATCACACAGGGTTCAGACCCCACCACTCTAACTGAATTGTTCTCTCAAAGGTGGCCAAGGAACTTTCGGCTCCTAAATTCAACGGCTTTTCCTCAGTCCTCATCCTTCTTGCCTTCCCTGCAGTTTATACTACGGATACCCCCAACGGCCTTGGACCCTCTTTCTTCTCTCACCTCCCAGGATTCTGCTGCCTCTGCTTCTCCTCCTCCTTTGTCTCCTTTTCTGGATGATCCGGCAGGATGTCCCCTGAACTCTGGGCCCTCTTTTTCTTTTCTTTCCTTGAGTTGAGTTCAATTATCATCTCCATGTAAATGACTCCTAAACATAAATATCCTTAATTTTCTGCCAAATGCCAGTCCCATGTTGCTACAGCCTGCCAAACGTCTCCACACGGATGTGTCTCAGGCATCCTGAATGCAATATATCTTACATGGAGCTCATCTTTGCCCCTAAGCCCACTCCCCCAAACTTGAATCTTTTGAGGACACCACTGAGTCATCCAGGTTCACATTAGAGCCATGGTTCTATAAAGGTCGGTTAGGGCAAAGGAACTTGGGCTCGTCATGCAGTCACCTGGACACTGCCCATTCTCCCCAGACTGCATCAGCAAAGCACTGTTCTGAACAAAAAGAGAGTTCAGAACCACTGTCTTGGAGTCAATTCTAATTCTTTCTTCTCTTTTACTACCACATTCAATCAGCTGCCAAGTTTTGTCAATTCTCCCTCCACAGCTCCTGAGTGTCTCCCACATCTCCCTGCACACACTCACCCACCATTTCAGGCCCTTGCTACCTCTTGCCTGGAATGCTGTAAAAGTGCCACTAGAGCTCCCTGTTACCACCCATCCTTTATACACCTGCCAAAGGCCTCACCTTGTCACCCTCAGCTCAAAAATCTTCAGTGGCTCCCTACTGACTGGAGGACAAACTATAAACTCACTCATGACAATCTGGCTCAAATCCACCTTTCCATACTTAGGTCACATGGGCCGTTCCCTGGCCTGTCTTTGCATCTGCATAAACAGTCCTCCCATGACTGAAACACACCCCAAGCCTCACGAAGGCCACGCCGCCGCCACCCCCTCCTCCCCATCCTTAGCTTCCAGGCTCAGCTCACAAGTTCCTTCCTCAAAAAAACCAAAATGCCTTTGATGAGCGTCCCCTGCCCCCCATCAGCTGTTAGAAATCTCTCCACATTCATCTGAACTTACTTATTGGTGTGCACAGATTTAGAATTGGAAGGGGCCTTATTGATCATCCAGTGAGGCCTTCTCATCTGTAAGATGGGGGAAACTGCCATGTAGAGGCTTGGCAGAGGTCAAAAGGCTGTTAAGTGTTGGAGCAAGATTTGAATCCAGATCCACTGATGCCAACCCCAGTCTTATTATTATAGCCTGCTACCTTGATATGCAGTTGTTTCCCCAGGAGTGTAAACTCCTCGGGGACAGGCTAGTTTACTTTGTAAAGAGTTCTAGTGGCAGCTAGGTGCAGTGGATAGAGCACCCGCTCTGGAGTCAGTAGGACCTGAATTCAAATCCAGCCTCAGACACATAACATTTACTAGCTGTGTGACCCTGAGCAAATCACTTAACCCCAACTGCCTCACCAAAGAAAAAAAAGTTCTAGATAAGGCAGCAGGTGGCTAAGTGGAGAGAGCATTGGGCCTGGAGTCAGGAGGACCTGAGTTCAAATCCTGCTTGGGCATTTATAGCTGGACAAATAAATCGCTTAACCTCTCAGCCTCAGTTTCTTCAATCTGTAAAACTGGGAGCGCCCACACCCCGGGGCTGTTGTGAGGATCACATTAAATACAAGCAATCATTAATATTATTACTTAGACTCTTTAGAGACATAGCATAACAATAACAGCAGCTCGAACTCATATAGCCCTTTAAGGTTTGCAAAATGCTTCCCAAGCCCTATCTCAGGCCGGCGCTATGACCGTGCCACTTTTTTCTTTTTACAGATAAGGCTGAGAAGTCACGAGACAGAGCTAAGGCCACACAGTAAAGGCGGGGGGTCAACGTCAGCTTTGAACCCGGGCTCCAATTCCACCTCACGCTTGTCAGGCGTGTCACCCGGGGCAAATCGCTGCAGCCGCGCCGGCCTCAGCGTCCTCATCTGTAAAACGGGTCGTCTCCAGGAGCTTCTCTGCGCGTAAAACGGGGGCGACCCCCCCCACTGCTTCTCTTAGAGGCCGCCCCGACACGCCCCCGCTCACGGAAGAGACCAGGGCGCTGGACTCGGGATTCCCTACCTGGCTGATCTCGGTTACGTCGCTTCCCTTGCCTGGCCTGTTTCCTTTTCTGTAAAATGGGCGGCTCTGATACTTGGCCTCCCGGGTCCCTACCAGAGCTTGCGCTTTCCCCGGGCCTCAGTTTCCCCATCTATAAAGAAAGGGGATTGGGCTCGGCGGCCCCCCCAGGGCGCGAGTGACCCTCGGTCCAGGCCCGGCCCCCGCACCCCCGGCACCTTCATCCCCAGCAGGTCGCGGTAGAAGCGCGCCGTCTGGAAGCGGTTGGCCACTTTGAACACGAAGTGCAGCGCGCGCCGCGAGGCCGCCGCCGCCGCCGCCGCCGCCTCCGCCATCTCGGTGCGCTCCTCGTGGCCGGCGCCCGCTGATGACGCCAGACGCCACCGACGCCGGCGCGCCTCGTGACGTCAGCGCGAAGATGGCGGCGCTGGCGCTGCTCCGCGGCGTGGGGCTGGAGGCGTTGCGGCTCGCAGCGGGGCCGCTCTGGGGCGGGGGTCCGCGGCGCGGCGTGCGGGCCCTGAGGCGGAGCCCCGTGAAGGTGCTGAGCCCCGGCCAGGGGCCGAGGGCGACGGCGGCGAAACCGAAGCCGGAGCCGCAGCGTAGAGGGAGGGAGAGCCCAGGCCCGCACCGGGCCCCGAAGCCAGAGCCGCAGCTGCAGCCGGAGCCGCGGGCGAGCCCCGGCGCGTGGGAGGAAGCGGGGCTGCGCTACGAGCGGGCCCTGCCCGGGGACCGGAGGCTGAGGTGAGCCCCTACCCCCGCCCGCGTCCCCGTCCTGGCTCGCCACCCCCGGGTGCTGCTCCCCTGGCTCGCCCTCTGCCCTCGTAGCCCGGTCCCGTCAAGTCTGCCTTCTTGCCCGCTGCCACGTACCTCCCCCCATCAGTCCCGGGTGTAGACCCCTCCCCGCCTCTCGCGGGGCCCACCGCTCTTCGGTCTCCCTGCCTCCGGCCCGCGAGATGCCCAGAGGAGTTTCCTGAAGTCCAGGACCCGCGGTCGGCCCGCCCTTCTCCTCCCGATAGAGGCCGACTCATCCGATCGCTGTTTGCAGGCCTCCGCGGCCTGACCGCTTCCCACCCTGGCAGTCTTGTGACCCTTGAGCCCCTTCCACCTCCTCCGGTCAGGGACGCTGCCCTTTTACTGTTCTCGGAACGGAACAGCCCCATCTCTGGACTCCGTGTCTTTTTACTGAGTGTTCTCGTCCCTGGAATGTTATTCCTCCTTCCCTCTGTCACCTGGTTTCCTTGAAGGTGCAGCTCAAGTCCGACTCGTTCAGGACGCCTTTTCGCCTGTTTGCCACTTCCCTTTTTGTCTTAGCTGCGTTAATTTTGCTCGTACAGAAGCAGTAAATGCCGTTGCTGTGCAGTCATTTCAGTTCCGGTGGAGTCTTTGTGACCCACTTGGGGTTTTCTTGGCAAAAATCCTGGAGCGGTTTGCCGTTTCCTTATCCAGCTCATTTTATAGATGAGGAAACTGAGGCAAACAGGGTGAAGTGACTCGCCCAGGGTCACGCAGCTAGTAAACGTCTGAGGCCGGATTTGAACTCAGGTCTTCCCGACTCCAAGCCTGCTGCTCTATCCATTGTGCCACCCACCTGTCCTGAAGTAGTAATAGCCATTTGTTATTTATGGGTCTACTAACAGTATAACATCCCCGTTTTTAGAAAGCACAAGATAGATAGTCAAAGATTCTCTCTTCATTAACTAATGCAGGGATACTATTTGGAAGCCAATAAAAGAAGTTTTTGGTTTGTTTGGGTTTTTTTGGTGAGGCAGTCGAGGTTAAGGGACTTGCCCAGGGTCACAGAGCTAGTAAGGGTCAAATGTCTGAGGCCAAATTTGAACTCAAGTCCTCCTGACTCCAAGGCTGGAGCTCTAGGCACTTTCGCCACCTAGCTGCCCCCAAATAAGTATTTTATTTCCCCTAATACCACCCCATTAAAGTTAGCACTTATTTCACCAAGCATAAGTTTACCTTTTTATGTTCTTGGCTACTCTTCTTTAGTATTTTATATTCTGTTTTATAAAAAAATGTTTCTCAAGAAAGCTGCTGTATAAGAGCACCTTTTTTTCCTCCAAAGTGCAAACATTGAAATGCCACATTTGTAATTTCAGCTTGAAAAATGAAATATTTTGACCATTTCATTGTGATACTTTGGCTTGAACAGTTTGGAAACTTCTGACATTTCTACTACAGCGAATAATGCAGAGTACATAGAAATGTGGGGCATTTAATAGTTTTTTAAATCTGTCTTAAAAATCAGAGACCAGTATACCATCCCAGCTGAAAGGGGTCTTAGAGAAATCATCTACTCCTAGAGTCATAAAAGTTTCTGAGATGATAGATTTAGAGTTTGAGGGGATCTCAGAGGCTATCCATCTAGCCTAACCCTCCTCCCCCTTACAGATGAGGAAACCGAGGCCCAGAGGTTAACAGACTTGTCCAAAAAGCTGCAGCTCTTGGAAATGACAGAGCTGGGATGTGAACCCAGATCCTTTCACTCCAGATCTGGCCTCCTTGACTTTGCCACGCTGGCTCCCAAAGAGAGCTTCTGAAATTGTGGGCCAGGATTTGTGTGTGATCTCAGTAATGGAATGGAGTTGTGCACGTGACTTCCCTCATGTCTGGTGTGCCGTGAGCACAACAGAGTTTGAGAACTGCGGCTCCCTCTACACTCTTACAGCAGAGAGAGACCCTGAGTAAGCAGTCTGAGGCGCAGCCAGGACTCAGGGGCTGTACTTAGGTATCTGTCGGTTTCTTCTCACCCACAGCAAAGTGATGATAATTGTCAAGTCCAGGACCTTCCGTGACAAGCAGGGGAAGATCTTGCTGGAGGGCCGGAGGCTGATTGCTGATGCCCTGAGAGCTGGTGCCACGCCACAAACGGTCTTCTTCAGTCGGCTGGAATATATAAAGGAGCTCCCTGTGGATAAGCTGAAAGGGGTCAGCCTCATCAAAGTGAAGTTTGATGATATTAAGGAATGGTCCGACCTCGTGACTCCCCAAGGAATAATGGGTCAGTGGCTAATGCCTTTTGTGACGTCTCACATAGCTGAAGAGAGTCTGAGAACTTAGCTGAGCGGGTCCTCCAGAGGGAACCATAATTATGTCAGGCACGGGCTGCTCTGGGGTCCAGCTCACCTCCCTGCCCCTCCCCCTGGCCACCACTCCCATACACACGGTGTGGTCTTCAGTTCGAACGTAAGCTTTTGTAGGGCAGGGACCGTCTCTTGTGTTTGTGTCTACAGTGCTTGGTACAGTGCCTGTACACAATAATTGCATAATGAGTTCTTCATCCGGTCATTCATTCTGGACTGATCTCGCCAATGGCTGGGAGTGTTGATGGATTCTTGACTCCAAGTCAACTTCTCATGCTGCCTTTCCAATTATATTATTGATTAGTAGTTATTCACTAACAATCCTGTGAACTGGTAAGAAACTGGTTCTGAGAGTAGCATGTCAATGAAAGAACTTTATTAAGGCATTTTTCTGCTGAAACATTTTTCCTATTTCCAAACCTTCCATAGAAGCTTAATTTTCAGGAGGAGCGGATATAGTAGAACTTGTGAGAAAAGATAAAAAGATTTCAGAAGTCGTGCCACTTAGGATATGCACAATCCCAGGCCCCTCAGGCTTGTTTATCTTCCTTTAAATTGGTCTGAGGACAGCAAGCTAGGCTGGGTATTAAAATCTCCAGGGAATACCAGGCTCCTGGAATTTCCTGCCAGAGGGCCCACATGGGATGTGCCCACTGAAGGTGAACTCTGTCTGCAGATGACAACCTCCCGGAGGCATCTCTGAAAGGCAGGGCCCTTGAAGTCTTTGATGGGTGGATGTTTGTTTGAAGAAGGGAGCGTCACTTAGATATCTAAACATTTTAGACCTGGGATTCCCACTCTGTGTCCTGGGAGTCTGCTTCCCATCAGACCTGCATGGAGGGCAAAGCTGGGGGGGGGGGGCTAGCTGCACTCACATTGCTGTTGGTGTGTGAGGCCAGGAGCTCTTCATTGTCTGGGCCAGCTAGGTAGCCAAAGGGGGATCCCGTTGCTCAGTCAGGTGAGCTCCTGTTATGTGCCCTTAGGGATTTTCGCCAGACCTGACCATGTTAAGATGAAGTATCCAGAGACCCAGCTTCAACATTCATTGCCCTTGTTGCTGATTTGTGACAATCTCCGAGATCCTGGAAACTTGGGCACCATCTTGCGATCTGCTGCTGGGGCCGGCTGCAGTAAGGTGCTGCTCACCAAAGGTAAAGGGCTTTTGTATCCGGAGTCTGGGATGGATGGGACAGGAAAGCAAGCCAATTGGCATTAAAGAGATGAAATGCGATTGTGCACGATGGCTTTGTATTTGTTTTTATGGCCCTTGAACTTCTGAAACTTTGGGACTGGTAAAGAATTTTATATACAGAGTCCATTTTAAAAAGGACTGACTCCAGGTGAGAACCAGCCTTTACAATCCCTTCTTCTGGGGGGGGGGGGGAGGGGAAGACACTTAGTTTTAACCAAATCACAGCCAAATCATAGAGTAACCTGAGGAGCCAAAAGGGACCTCAGGGCATCGAGTCCAACTTCCTTCATTTTATAGATGAGGAAACCAGCCCTGGGGAGGCTGAGTGACTTTCCAAGGTCATATGAGTTGTGTCAGAGGTTGGTTTTGAACCCATATCCTCTCTGACTCCTGAGGCAGTGCCCTTTTCACTGGGTTGAGATAGATCTTGACATTTGGGAGAAGCTACGTAGTTAAGCAGCCACACCCATCTTCTTTAGATGAGACATACATTGGTATTGGCACCAGTTGCTGAGACGTGCCTAAATTGTGACCTATAAGCAATCCTATAATTGTGGTACAAATTTTGTTGCTGCTGCTGCCACCTCAGGGATCCCTCTTGTTTTTTCATTTTGTTATTTCACATTTTGAGGAAGAGAAATTTTCCTTCTTTGGAAAGAGAAAAACTCAAATCTTCATGAATCCCAACTGGTGTTTAAGTTGATACTGATATATTGGCTGCAGTGCAGAAGAAGGAAGTTCAGTTCACCAGAATCTCAGATAGCATGTTAGGAATTTCAGCCCTTCCTCCGTGTATCGCCCTTTTCTTTCTGCCCCTCCTCCTAACTACTGTCCCTTCCCCCACCCCAGGACAAAGGAGGCTTCAGATGCCACAGGGGCCGTCCGAGCCGTGACCCGAGATGGGCAGCCCCACGTGGCATTTGTGGCAGCCACTGGAGAACTGTCTCTGCTTGGCTGCTTTCCCACTTCTTTGGCAGACAGGAAGCCTTTCAGGAGTAGAGGTGGTGTCCCTCATCGCATGATTTTTGTGGCTTGCCTAGTTGACTTCTTCTGAGGTTAAGATGGAAAGGTTTTC